ATAGTAGGTTAAGTGTTGGACTGCTAACTGAGAGGTCAGCCATTCAAATCCATCAGTCACTCCTAGGGAAAAAGGTGAAGCCATCTTCTCCAATTGAGGTTTATAGACTTGAGTTTCTGTGAGTCAGAACCAACCCAGTGGCAATGAGTTTAGTTTATTTATGTAACAGTAGTTGCTGGTTTTGTTAGTTGTCATGGACCTTATTCTAACAATAAGGACAATAGAAACACTGCCCAGTTCTGTGTGATAATCATAGTCATAGCTTTGTTTAAGCTCACTGCCACGGCCAGGGGTCAAACCATCTCATTTGAGTTGTCTTTTTTATTGCACCTCTATTTTACCAAGTTTAATGTTCTTTTCCAGGAATCATTCTCTCCTAATAACTTGTTCAAAGTACATAAGATTAAGTCTTAGCGTCTTTGCTTCTCGGTAGCATTTTGGCTGGTTTTGTTTTTTTCCTTTTTTTTTTTTTTTATGTCTGATTCTTTCCTTCCTCTGGCACTCCATAGTTTAGTCAACATTCTTGGACATTATAATTCAAAATTCCTCAATTTTTCTTTGCTTTTTCTTATTTGTTGCCTGACGTTTGTATAAATATGAGGAGGCTGAAAATACTACAGCTCAGGTCAGGCTCACTTTAGCTTTCAAAGTGACACTCTTGTTTCACAGGCCACCAGCTCCCTTGACACTTTAAGGTGAGATTATTTTTTTGTTGTTGGTTGATTGTTGCCTCCCCACCCTGCTTCACAGAAGATTTGGCTAGTGAAATACGTCATGTAATTTCTTGATGGCTGCTTCTATGGGTGTGAATTATGGGCCCAAATGAAATGAAACATCTTCAGTATTATCATGATGCTGCTTGTTGGTCCAGGAGAGAGAGTTTTGTCTTTATTCTACTGAGGTATAGTTTATTCCACTGAGTAATGAGGGTTATAGTGCTTGTTTTTCATGACTAAGATTTCAGGTCTTCATCATTCAAGGTTGTGTCATATGCAGACACCTATTTTTGTTAAACTATGTCATATGGCATTGATTTCTATATCATTGACAAGCTATATCTACATATAACATAGCTATGTAGATATTGTATAGCATAGCTACATCATAGGTAGCTAGCATTATTATTAATGATTTGCCCTCCAATCTTGAGGTCACTTTCTTCTTCATATAGTCCAACTTCTAGGATTATTTTCTCAGCGTTCAGTTCGAATAAGTGAAAGGTGAAAGTATATACAGACTGTAAATGAGATAGCCTAAGGAAACCATACAAGAACGAACTAGGGTTGGACGCCAGAGATGGTTCAAGAAAATGTATATGCTGGGGGACAGGGAAAGAATGAGTATTTAAAAAAAATTGATTTTTATATTACTTCCATAGACTTAGTGGTTCAGAAAGTACTATTTAAAGAAATTGCTTCATTAATTATAAAAATATCATTAACCTGAGGGAGTTAGTACTGCAAAATTTTCAGTGAATCCATCTTTTTCAAAGGTAAAATTATGGTTAATATTAAAATTTTGTTAAAGAAACTAAAATTGCAATATAAATATATCCATAAATATATACATATTTATATATTAAATAAATATATAGGCACTCTAGTGGCTTTGTGCTAAGAAATTGAACTGACAACCCAGAAGTGCACAGTTCAAGTCTACCAACTTGCCAGGAGAAGATGGGCAAACTCCTCTCATGTGATTGACTTGATCGAACATATAACAAAAACAATTAACAATTTTATATATATATATATAAAATATTATATCATATTCATCTGACATACTTTGGTCATGTTGTAAGGAGAGACCGGTCCTTGGAGAAGGACATCATGCTTGGGAGGGTGGAGGGCAGGCGCAGGAGGGCAAGGCCCTCTGGGAGGTGACTGGGGCAATCGGGATGAGTGTGTCGGAGACAATGAGATTGGCACAGGACAGAGCAGAGTTTAGAGCTGTTGTACATAGGGTCGCTATGAGTCGCAAGCGACTCGACGGCACATAATAACAACAACAACATATTATATATGTATGTGTGTATTCTATATATGTATATGTTTATTATATATATGTATGTGTGTATTGTATAGAGGGATATATGTGTGTTATATATTGTATATCTATTTATTATATATGTATGTTTGTATTATATATGTACATGTGTATTTATATATATATATGTGTGTATTATAAGTATGTATGTAATATATATATGTTGTTGATTGCCTTCAAGTCAAGCACTACTCATAGAGACCCTTTGAACAAAAGGCCTGAATTCCCTCTACACCTATTGACATTTATCAAAGTTCATAGAGTTTCTGGAGGCATGTTGTTTAGGAACTAGATGTCACTCCTGCCTTCAAACCTGTCATAGAATGTTATTGGTTGAGTCATCTGTGATGCATAGTGACCCTATGTACAGCAGCTCTGAACTTTTCCCTATCCTGAGCCAGTCTCACTAAATCTGACACACCAACCCCCATTGCCCCAGATATTGTATCAGTCCATCTCTTCCGGGGTCTTCCTCTCCCATACTGTCTGTCCACCCTTCTGAGCATGATGTCCTTCTCCAAGGACCAATCTCTCCTGGCCACGTGCCAAAAGTAATTGCTGTAAATCTTCAAAATCCTAGCCTCCAAGGAGAGACTTGGTTTCACCCTGTCCAAGACAGTCCTATTTGTTTTTGTGGCAATCCATGGTATGTTCAAGACTCTTCTCTAGCACCACAACTTCTTCTGTTGTCCTTAATCATTGTCCAACTCTCTGAAGCGTTACTCTCCGAAGTAACTGAGAAGACCACAGCCTGGATTAGGCACACCTTTGTATCTACATTGACATCACTGTTCTTCAGCACTCTGGAGTGGTCCATGACAGCATATTTTCCCAATATAATTCTTCTTTTGATTTCCTGACTGCTGGTATTAAAAGAGTGTTGATTGTGTGTATGTACACATACACAGAAAGAGAGAGAGATTTCTATGGAGAAAGAAAGAGAGAGTTCTAGGAGGCCTAAGGAGCTCTCTAGTGGCCTATTGGTAAGGAGTTGCACTGTCAATCCAAAGGCAAACAGTTTGAATCGCCACCTACTTCATGGGAAAAAGATGGTCATCTCATCCCATGTAGTTTAACAACAGATAGATATAGATGATAGATATAGATTAGATATAGAGATAGAGATAGAGACAGATAGATAGATATAGATGATATAGAGATAGAGATAGAGATAGATAGAGATAGATATAGATACACACACATACATACATACATATACACACACACATATATATACGTATGTGTATATATATGTATGTATGTATATATATATTTAGTGACAACTTAATGACAAGGATAAATTAAGAAAAAATTTAAGAACAATTTAAAACATTAATAATTAGAATAAATAGTTGTTTAAACAGCTATAGAAAAAGAAAAATAAAGCTTTTTCTCTCCCCCTTATCGATATTCCCAATCAACATGAAATTTAAAAAAACATTGCATACTTATCCAGTGTCTCCTTGAAATGACACTATCTTCCTGAAATAAACAACTTAATGTTAAAATGAAGGAATAATATAAGTATCCCCACTCTAGTTTTCTTTTCAAAATCTCTTTTACTAAATTTGTTGGCTAGAACATTACATTTGAAAAATAAACCTATCCTAAGAATTTATTTCCCTAATATGCCTCGGGCTTACAGAGAGGTGTATAAGCCCTCTGTGTTTCTTCAGGCTACTTTGGAATTCTCAGGGCAATACTGACGAAATTTCAATCCCAAAGTAAATGTTTTATTGAGAGTGGGTTGGGGGGAAGGAGGGGCGTTGAACATAAAACAGTCCATCTGTTAGCAGATACATTTTGTTTCCCCAAGTAATAATTCTATAGCAAAATTATTATTTTGTCTCTTCCACGTTAGCCACCTTTTTCTCTCCTTAATAACTTCTGAAGGACATATGTATATTTTAGAGTGGAAGAGAATGTAACACAACTACCTCTCGCAGCCAAAAGCCTCTCCTACATCGCCAAATTGTGGATAATGGGGCCAGAGGTGTAATTACTACAGGAGTTTGGAACCATAATTACTGAACTAATCTCAAAAAATGGTGGTGGCTTGCACTGCAACAAAACTCATTCTTGTAGCTATCAGAGCCACTTGGAATGCGATAAACATCTTGTGTTTGCAAACGCAGCTGTTGCACCAAATGATGTTCCGTATTAGCAAATTACAACGACCTGCTGCACACAACTCATTTTGATTATGTAATGAGAAATCCCATTAAACTCAGATAACGAATTGTGACTCTTAAACACTTTTGGAAGAGGCTGGGGAAGGAGGTAAGATGGCAGGTTGGAGAGAACTGATTCGAGAGCCAACTGAATTTTGAAGCCTGTGCTTCTGCAAACAGCTTGACTTTCTCTAGTTCTTGGGAGGAGAGGGTAGAAGTTGAAAGTAAGATTTACCATTTTCAGGCTTATCAACTAAAGCATACAGGTTTTGAGGTCGTAGGTCAAGACCTTAGGGAAGAATGGACGCTTTCAAAACCTCACCTCCTCTACTCCTGCTCTTACTTTTCAGCATAGACTCCAGGTTCTAACTGCCTTTGCGTCCTTCGCTGCACATTGCCCTCTACGTGAAGATGATTTCGAAGCTATTTCATTGCCAACCCAAAGGCATGTGGCTTGAATCCACTAGCTGCTCTGTGGGGGAGAGAAGGTCAATTTCCTCTGTGATGTAGTGTCTGTGAAAACCCGGGGGAGGGCCAGCTAGCATTTACTTGCTCAGTAACACCCTCCACCTAGAAGGACCTTACGCTGTGCAGTGCTTTCTCCCCACCCCTTTATGACGCATAAGGCTACACCCTGTCTCACCGCTCACACAAGAATCTGGGACCACAAGCAATGCTCCCAGAGCTTCAGGCTGCCTTGGGCTCAGGCCCTGCTGCTCCAACTCTAAGGGCCCCTGGCAGTGCCACCGACCTCCCTGAGCCCTGATACCTCCATGACTCGCCATGGCCAGCCAGTTGTGCCTGCCACATCCCTCTCCCCTTTCACCCTTGAAATCCTTCAAGCCACCATTCAGTGACGTCCAAGTGGGTATCTGCGTGGCGATCAAGCGCAGCGACGGGCGGATCCACCTCGCTGTGGTCACCAAGATCAACAGAGAAAACGCCTGGGTCACGGTCGAGTGGGTCGAGAAAGAAGTCAAAAAAGGCAAAAAGATTGACCTGGAGAGCATATTCCTGCTGAATCCAGCGCTGTTCTCCGCTCCGCACCCAGAGCGGCCCAGGGCCCTCGCTCCCTTCTCTCTAGCGCCGCCTTCTGCTCTCGCAGACCAGGCCGCATGGTGGGTGACGACGATTCCCCAGAAGAATGAGCTTTCCTCTGGGGACAGCCTGGCCTTGCGTGTCCCCAGCCAACTTTGTGTGATGAAACGGAGAAAGTCTCCCTGCGTCCTGGAGATCGAGAAACTGCAAAGGCAGCGGGAAGAGCGCCGGCAGCGGCAGATGGAGATCCGGGCCATCCGCTCCGGGAACCCCAACTCCGAGGTCATGCGCATGATCGAGGACTACCGCAGGTACTTGGACAGCAGCAAGCTGCCAGGTGGGGAGCCCCTGAGAGACCACCGCATCTGCGTCTGCGCGAGGAAGCGGCCTCTCAACCAGCGAGAGACGGGCATGAAAGAGCTGGACATCATCACCATCCCATCCAACACGGTGGTGATGGTGCACGAGGCCAAGCAGAAGGTGGACCTCACGCGCTACCTGGAGAACCACATCTTCTTCTTCGACCGTGCCTTTGACGACACAGCCTCCAACGAGCTGGTATACCAGTTCACCGCCCAGCCGCTGGTAGAGTCCATCTTCCGCAAGGGCATGGCCACCTGCTTCGCCTATGGGCAGACGGGCAGCGGGAAGACGCACACCATGGGTGGGGACTTCGCCGACGGAGAGCAGGATTGCTCCAAAGGCATGTACAGCCTGGTCGCGCGGGATGTCTTCCTCCTGCTCAAAACCCCCGCTTACGAGAAACTCAACCTCCAAGTCTACGGGACATTTTTTGAGATCTATGGTGGCAAAGTGTATGACCTCTTGAACTGGAGGAAGCAGCTGCAAGTCTTTGAAGACAGTCGCCAGCAAATGCAGGTGGTGGGGCTGCGGGAGCAGGAGGTGGGCTGCGTGGAGGACGTGCTGAACCTGGTGGAGCTGGGGAAAAGCTGCCGCACTTCCGGACAAACGTCTGTCAATACGCACTCCTCCAGGAGCCACGCTGTATTCCAGGTCATCCTCAAGTCCGAAGGGGAACTGCACGGCAAGTTCTCCCTGATTGACTTAGCTGGGAATGAGCGCGGAGCAGACATCTCCAGGGGCAACCGCAAGAGGCAGCTGGAAGGGGCAGAAATTAACAAGAGTCTTCTGGCGCTCAAGGAGTGCATCCGGGCTTTGGGCCAGAATAAGCCTCATACGCCGTTCAGAGCCAGCAAACTCACGCAGGTGCTCCGGGACTCCTTTATAGGGCAGAATTCCTCCACTTGCATGATTGTTACTATTTCCCCAGGGATGGCCTCTTGCGAGAATACCCTCAACACTTTAAGATATGCCAACAGAGTAAAACAAATAACCCTCGTTATCAACCCCCACCATCGGAGGCTCGGCCCTGCTGGGTATAAGAGATCCAGTATGTTGGGAAAGCCCGTAACGATTTCAGCAGTACCCCTTCACAGACATGGCTTTAGTACAATGTCCTATCTACAGAGTGAGGAGGAAGAGGAAGACGTGGAAACATTGCGCACTCCTTCAGAGGAGAATGCTTTGACTTCGTGGACAGAACCCAACCAGTGGCCCATGGACATGCAAAAGATAGCGGATAGGATGAACTGTGATGTAGACTTTTGCATTGCTCAGTTACTGGACACGTTGGATCAGAAGATTGGTGTCCTGATTGAGATTCAGAAGAAATTGCGTTTACTACGGGCTGACTTCCAAATGAAGACCAGAGTGGAATGAAGCCAGGTAGCAAGGTGGAAAGGACAGATACATGAGACAGCCCCTACTTCACTTAGACAAGAAAATTGCCCAAATTATCTAGATGCAAACCTTAAAACATCCTAAAATATGCTTGTCAGAAAGGGACTCTTCACTCTCTGTAATTTCTGTAGCACGTTGTCATTGTGCTGGTACCAATTTGCCCCCAGGACCCATTTGGCAAGGTCTAAAGACAATTTCAGTTGTCATCACTGGGGTGTGGGAGTGGCACGGTGACATTTGAATAGGTAGGAGTCAGAGGTGCTACTAAAAAAACAGCTTACAAAGCACAGGACAGAAGCCACAATGGAAACTCAAATTCCAGTGGTCAAGGTTGAAAAATGGTACTGGCGGAGAATCCAGCCATGATAAAACCACATACCCAGAACTTTGTGGCAATGGAGGGGAACCACTTTGGGTTAAAAATATTGAGCTAAGAACACACTAAGGAGTACACCAAACACCCAAGTCCAAGTCCATTGCCACTGGGTTGATTATGTCTCATAGCAAGACTATGAGGCAGAGTAGAACTGCCCTACCCAGTTCTCAGGGGTGTAAACCATCCCAGAAGCAGGCTGCCACATCTTTCTGTCCCTGTTGATTTGCTAGTATAACCTTACTATCTTTGTTGGCTAGCCTCCAACAGCTTGACCACTCTGCCACCAGGACTCTTAAAGGGTGTGGAATGGAGTAAATCAAACAGTGTCCAATCATACATCTGTTTTTGTAGGACTAATGTATGTTGTATACATCATAGTTGATCCTCCAGCGAGTGTTCAGAGGCTGTAACTTGTTCTGGAGAAGAATGCCTATCTTTCTCTTGCAGAGCAACTGATAAATTCAAATCACATGTCTTTGGGTGACAGCCAAACTCCTTACCACTAGGCCATCAGAACTTATTAAAACGTTTAAGGCCCTTCTATAGCCTCTGCTAAGTCTAAATCTCTAAATCTGACTACATCAGACTTTTCAGTTCCTGAGAAAAAGCAAGAAAATATATCTCACTGGGTGTAAATAGACACGACTATAGATAGCTAGGATCATTTCTGTATCTTTTATTAGTATTTAAGATGTTTGAAAGCAGAGAATATGTGCCCCTCCCTGCTTTTCCCCTCATGTCTAATCCAGTTTTATCTTCAAAAGTTTAAACGTACCTTTCCTTAGCAGACATCATTCGTGATACTTCATTTATAAAAGAGACCAAGAAGGTACCTCCATTCAAATCATGAAGAGAGTGGCATAATCTGCAGGCAGTTGTGAGACTAGACCAAGTGCGCGCGCGCACACACACACACACACGCGCGCGTGCGCGCGCTTGTGCGGCCACAGAAAAAGGAATAAACGAAGTAGGGATGCTATTTCTGTGGAACTGCAAGCGTAAGCCTGGATGAACAGTGAGCCGTGGAACAGAAGGTACACCTCACAGTCCGTACTTCCTGGAAGCAAAGGAATATTAGTCAGTCCTTCTGATGTACAGATTATTCAATTTCTTGTTTTACCATTCAGTCATAGTAGGAAGATCGCAGGGTAGGAGTTATTAAGAGACTCTGCAATTAATCATCTAGAATTGAGACGGTTTATTTATTTATTTACTTTTTTAAAAAATTAGAGTTTAAATTGGAAACTACTGTATTTCCTGAGAGTGATTAAATAATATATGTGCGTGTGTGCGTTTTGCATAAGAAGAAACGTTATTGATTATTTATGATGTCTTTTAGATTGGTGTTTTTCCTCTTTTTGAATGTTATGATTACATGATTCACATTCAAAAAAAATGTTCTTGCATCAAAATCAGAGCAGAGAATAGGTCAGGAGCCCTGTCGAATAAAGCTCAGTCTAAAGTGGAACACATCCCAGGAAGGTCTCCCAAGGGGTGTGAAAAACTTCACAGCTTGAGAGCAGTTGAAAATGAAGAACATTTTCATAATCAGGGATCATGAGGTTCAGCCACTTGAAAAAAAATTTTTTTTTTTTGTGAGAAA